ACCTTCGTGGGCCGCATCGCGCAGGACCTGGGGCTGGAGCTGGCGGAGCTGGTGCCGCGCCAGTTCCGGGTGGCGTCCAAAGGCAGAGAGGACATTCTGGAGGTAAATCTGCAGAATGGCGTTTTGTTTGTGAATTCTCGGATCGACCGGGAGGAGCTGTGCGGGCGGAGCGCGGAGTGCAGCATCCACCTGGAGGTGATCGTGGACAGGCCGCTGCAGGTTTTCCATGTGGAGGTGGAGGTGAAGGACATTAACGACAACCCGCCGGTGTTCCCAGTAAAGGAACAAAAGCTGTTTGTTTCAGAATCCAGAATGCCAGATTCGCGGTTTCCGCTAGAGGGCGCGTCGGATGCGGATATTGGAGCTAACTCCGTTTTAACCTATAGGCTTGGCTCTAATGATTACTTCATGCTGGATGTGAAATCAAAGAACGATGAGAATAAACTGGTTGAGCTCGTATTAAAAAAGTCTTTGGACAGAGAGGAAGTTTCTGAACATAACTTATTCCTGACGGCCACCGACGGAGGCAAACCTGAGCTCACTGGCGCTGTTCAGCTGCTGGTCACTGTGCTGGACGTGAACGACAATGCTCCCAGTTTCGAACAGTCTGAATATGAAGTAAGAATATTCGAAAATGCAGACAACGGGACAACACTTATCAGACTGAATGCTTCTGATCGGGATGAAGGTGCGAATGGGGCAATTTCATACTCTTTTAATAGCCTTGTTTCACCCACGGTCATTGACCGGTTTATTATAGATCCGAACACTGGAGAGGTAGCCATTCAAGGGAATTTGGATTTTGAACAAGTGAATTTATATAAAATCCGCATTGATGCGACGGACAAAGGCCACCCTCCAATGGTGGGTCATTGCACGGTTTTAGTGAAAGTTTTGGATAAAAATGATAACGTCCCTCAGATTGCATTGACTTCCTTATCGCTGCCCGTCCGAGAGGACGCTCAGTTCGGTACTGTCATTGCCCTAATCAGCGTGTCCGACCTCGACTCAGGCGTCAACGGACACGTCACCTGCTCCCTAACACCTCACGTCCCCTTCAAGCTGGTTTCCACCTTCAAGAATTACTATTCACTGGTGCTGGACAGCACCCTGGACCGCGAGAGTGTGTCTGCCTATGAGTTGGTGGTGACAGCGCGGGACGGGGGCTCGCCTTCGCTGTGGGCCACCGCCAGCGTGTCCGTGGAGGTGGCCGACGTGAACGACAACGCGCCGGCGTTCGCGCAGCCCGAGTACACGGTGTTCGTGAAGGAGAACAACCCGCCCGGCTGCCACATCTTCACGGTGTCGGCGCGGGACGCGGACGCGCAGGAGAACGCGCTGGTGTCCTACTCGCTGGTGGAGCGGCGGGTGGGCGAGCGTGCGCTGTCGAGCTACGTGTCGGTGCACGCGGAGAGCGGCAAGGTGTACGCGCTGCAGCCGCTGGACCACGAGGAGCTGGAGCTGCTGCAGTTCCAGGTGAGCGCGCGCGACGCTGGCGTGCCGCCTCTGGGCAGCAACGTGACGCTGCAGGTGTTCGTGCTGGACGAGAACGACAATGTGCCCGCGCTGCTGGCGTCTCGGGCTGGAGGCTCTGGCGGGGCGGTGAGCGAGCTGGTGCCGCGGTCGGTGGGCGCGGGCCACGTGGTGACGAAGGTGCGCGCGGTGGACGCCGACTCGGGCTACAACGCGTGGCTGTCGTACGAGCTGCAGCCGGCGGCGGGCGGTGCGCGCAGCCCGTTCCGCGTGGGGCTGTACACGGGCGAGATCAGCACGACGCGCGCCCTGGACGAGGCGGACGCTCCGCTTCAGCGCCTGCTGGTGCTGGTGAAGGACCACGGCGAGCCGGCGCTGACGGCCACGGCCACCGTGCTGGTGTCGCTGGTGGAGAGCGGCCAGGCGCCGAAAGCCTCCTCTCGGGCGTTGGAGGGCGCCCCGGGCCCGGAGGCTACTCTGGTAGATGTCAACGTGTATCTGATCGTCGCCATCTGCGCTGTGTCCAGCCTGTTGGTGCTGACGCTGCTGGTGTACACGGCGCTGAGGTGCTCGGCGCCACCCACCGATGTCGCGTGCGGACCTGGGAAGGCCACGCTGGTGTGCTCCAGCGCGGTGGGGAGCTGGTCGTACTCGCAGCAGAGGCGGCAGAGGGTGTGCTCTGGGGAGGGGCCGCCCAAGACCGACCTCATGGCCTTTAGCCCCAGCCTTCCACCCTGTCCAGGATCAGGGGATGCAGTCGAAGAGCAAGATTTAAATGTGGAACATGGTGTCAAAGTAAGTCCATTTATATTTAGAAATTATAAGTTATGTTTTGAAAATTTTATAGTTATTTTAAAGCATTATTTATGTTTATTTTTTGGTGTATTTTACTGTCAACATCAGATGGTATAGGTTTAAAATTTTTATAATTAATTTTTATTTCTAATTGGTGTGATGAATTATTAACTATACTTCACAAGTTGAATTTGTCCTCAAATTCAAATTATCATTCTATAATTATTCTTTGTAGTGAGTACTGATTTTAGCCTTGGTAACACCAGTCATCTCTGAACAATATTCTAACGTTCTCCGTAGTAATTAGAAAAATGTATTCCTCTAAAGTGTTCATTCTTTCGTGAATGTACACTGAACTTTTAACCTTATTCCATATGCAGTTCTTTGAAATTTGCTTCTAAATATTAACTTGTCCTTATATGTATTTTATTCGCCTTATTATGTCAGTTTATTCATCTTAATTTCTGCCTTTAGTGTCAGTTAGTCACAAGTATTCATTTTCTCTATTACCTTTTTAAACAGTTTAGTGATAAAGTACAGAATAATTGCTTTTTAAAACTTAGTTTTTATTTCTTCCTAATATTATTATAAGTCAGCTAAAAATAAAAACATGGGGACAAATAGGAAATGCTTCTTTCTTTTTAAAAAAACTTAAATACATACAATTTTTTCAATTATACCTTAATAAATTTGGAAAAATTATTTTAAACTTACATACAGTAAAATCTAGTAATGCTCCTTTTCAGTACAATATCTTTTAGGACAATTTACTATTTGGAGATAGGTTTTTTTACTGTTTGATGTTTTTTACAGTCTTGTCAATAATTTAACATTTTTTTGAGCATCTATGTTTAAATATAATTGTTTCTATTCTGACAAATATATACTAAACTCTAATCATTTGTATTGAGTAAAATACTACCAGTCCTTTGTATGTGAGTTAGAATACTATCAAAAATATTTTACATTAAATTTGCATTTAATATATGACAGAAACATATTTCAATCAGAAAAACTGTATACAGTAATTCCATTGAGGCAGACTGAATGTATAGTTTATATTCATTACACAGAATATTCAGGAAAATCAGGATTTATTAATTAATTCATGCAGAAATATTTAGTATTATGGAATAAATCTTTGAAAAGTTGAAGATATTTGGTCTTCTTGTCTTTCAACGTTTTCATTCTTTTAGGACTTTTTCTTGTCTTTTTATCTTTGCTTCATGTGACTGTTTTACCTACCTTGATATTAAATACCCATTAGATTTTGAGCATATTCTTTGGAGGGAGTGGTGGAATTAATGGAAGGGAATAAAGGTTTCCAGGACTCTGAATTTATATAATTTGTTAATAATTTTTATTAACATAGTTCTTATCTTTTTATCACTTATGAGCCACTTCTATTATCATTTATGATCACATTTTATTCTCTTGGCACAATTGAAAGTAATCTAAAAGGGTTTGATTTTATATTTCTCATAATGCCAGTCCATGCCTAGCATTTTATTTTTTTAATTTTAATTTTAATTTTTAATTTTTTTTGGCACAATTGAAAGTAATCTAAAAGGGTTTGATTTTATATTTCTCATAATGCCAGTCCATGGCTAGCATTTTATTTTTTTAATTTTAATTTTAATTTTTAATTTTTTTGGGGGGGAGTCGTTGAGTAGCCGTTACAGGGAACTAAACCCTTGACCTTGATGTTACAAAGCTGTGCTCTAACCAGTTGTGCTAACCGGCCAGCTCCCATGCCTAGCATTATATTTGTTTATTAAAAACGTATTAGAAAAAAGAATTATTTTAATTTAGTTCTCAACTTTAGGAACTCTTGTCTTTCTTATATGCTATCTTCATTCTACTGTTTGAATACAGTTTGGAGTTTTTTCTTTGTGAAAGTGATCTTACTCTTACATTTCCTATTCTGTCTGTTACCTTGTTCTTAGGTATAACTTTAATTACTGAATTCTTCTTCTAAATGTTTAACTGGTTTTTACAATGTACCATAAACAGAAACAAAGGTCCTCTCCACCCCCTGGCATTGTATTTGACAACTCATCGTTTCGTTTAATTGATACTTGAATTTCATTTTGGGCTCGTGCTTTTCACAAAGAAGGAGTCTAAATCTATTTCTTATATGCTAATACTTTTCACTATTTTATCTATGATAATGCTTTTTAGCTACTAAATATTTCTTAAATTGAAAGTCATCAGAGCTTAGTTATTAAGCACTGTGGGTTCTGAAGTTTCCTGTATCAAACTCCTCTGTCAATTTTTGTATGTGTAGCCTTTGCTAAAGCATTTGTAGTTCAGTTCCTTGGTTATACATTTATGCATTATAAATGTGAATTCTACTGTGTAGACTTTTTAGAATCAAGTTAGTATTTATAAGTTGTTTATGATAAAATCCAGCAAGTGCTAAGTACAAGAGAAAATTTAGTTGTTATTTTCAAGAGGAAAAGAAAGTAATGATTATGAAAAGAAAACCTAAGCTGTCAGAAGGTCATTATGGTCTTCCATATTAATTTTATTTTATATAAAAATTGTCTTTTGTGAAATCATTTTTGGATTAACCCAGGATGTCTCAATATGTTTAATGCTGTGTGATAGAATTTAAAATCTAAAAGTTAGTTTTTATAGGTTTTGGAAAGTCAAATTAGCACCACGGATGTGAAAAAAAGTTTTTGGATCTTTAAAGGTTAAAATATCCTTCAAGGAAAGTCTGGAGTACTGATGTGGATTGTTGCATCTTTTTCTATATTTACAAGTTGCCAGAGGTCTTTCAGAATTCTGAGTAGGTGTCTGAAATCTCTACGTGTTTCATTCCAATAGAGTTTTCTCTTTCTTAAAAAGAAATATACAATACTGTTTTGATGATAATTTAAAATCATTTTAGGTTACAGTTCTACTAATGAAGGAAATAAATTATTTGTGTAGATAGTATTATAGAATAACTTTTAAAACATACTTTCTTAGCAAGTAGAGAAAACGATAGTCACCAGTCTTCATTAAACATTAAATACAGTCCTTACAGTTCTCTGAAATATGTCATTATAATCAGGAATTACTGAATTATCAAGACTAAGACTCTTCAAAAGTTTGAGGTAAAATAAGGAATATGAGTCATAGAATGCAAGGAAGATATTATAACAGGCACAAAAGAGGTAAATCATAGTAAGCTTGGAGGTGAAAGAAAATCACTTCCTATTTGGGTTTGGAAGGAATATTTGAAGGGGCATGTCACTTTCAATGGTTTTTAAATGGGTAAATTTCCCTTGGGAGAATATTATGGGGAATAATGGACATTTCTGTGAAGGAGAAAACATAAGCAAACTTGAAGTTACAGAGAAGCATCGACGTGACTGGAAACATGAAATAGTCTAGTTTGGTTAAGATATATGGTTTGCATAGAATAAAGGCAGAAAGAATAATGTGAGAAAATTTCTTGATTTTGAGTACTAGTCTAAGTGACTTTGAGTAGTAGATTAAGGAATTTGGATTCTCTTCAGAAGTAATTGGAAGTTATCAAATTATTTTGAGCAAAATAAATCAACAAAATAAATCAATTCAAGAAGATTGAATGGGAAGACAGACTAGGGAGCTACTGCAATAATCCTGGATAAAAGCAATTAGTTAAAAGCTCATCTTAGGTTGTTATGAGTAAGAATATGAAGTAAAATACAGATATACAAAAACATTGTAAACTGTCATATTTTTGCCATTTGACTTAAGAAGCACTAAAAGCTAGATTTAATGAGTCTACTTGAATTTTAGAATGAGAAACTACAACTCACAAGAGAGCTTTGTAGAACCTAGGCAGGAAAAGAATCCCAATCATATGGTTAAAAACAGAAATTGCCCGAAGTACTAAGAGTGAACAGTAATGAAATTAAAACCATTATGAAAAGACATAATACAAACTAGATTGAATGTTGATTAAAAATATAGAATATTTTCTCCCATGCAAGATCTTTTCTTCTCTCTTTTTTGGTTTTGTGTGTGTGTGTGTGTGTGTGTGTGTGTGTGTGTGTGTTTAAATTTTCTTGTCTTTGCAAAGCAATATTTTAGGACAAAGTCTTACTTTTCTTGGAATATTTTATACATCTTCAATTCATAAAATTACTGAAGAAAACTACCTCAATTGGTTGCTCATACTTTCTTTAGACATGAGCATGTTTCTTTTTTATCAGTAGATTTCTGTGCTTCTGGAGTCACCAGGGATACTGGCTCATCGAGTTTTCTTACACCAGAATCTTAGATTAGAAACATAGGAGATTCTGAATTGCAGGTAAAAGAATGTACCAGTTTAAATTTCGTGGTTGTTTAATTAAAAATTTTAATCGTCTCTTCATTTTGTCGTTATTTTTAAATTACGTGGAGTTTTCTCAGGCATGAGAAAGCCATGATCATGGTCATACCAAACTTTTAGAGCTAGTCTGTCCGCTAAGAATGCCTTCAGCAAGAGAAACGTGGTCTTGTATTTCAACAATAATTAATTGAGAAAAAAATCAGAGCATGAAATAAAGTTTTACAGTACAACTGCGGAATGTTGATTCACGGAATTTGTACTTACTCTTCCGGCCGCATGATGTCCCTCTTTGCCGTGACGTTCTCTCTGATTCAAGGCAAAAACAGCCATCCTTTTCCCCATCGGAAAGACGCTCCATTCTTTCTTACCTTCCCTGTGTTGAACAACGGCGAACACAAAACGATGGGACTGACGGGATCAGATGATTTCTCTTAATTTTGAGGCAATTTTTACTAATTAAAAAAACACCGAGTTTATGAAATGTTGTACTCAGGTCGAGGAGACCCAGAGGGCCGGCACCTACTGCTTTTGCTTCTGCTCCTCGCAATCTGGGAAGTAGGGACAGGCCAGCTCCGCTACTCGGTCCCCGAAGAAGCCGAACACGGCACCTTCGTGGGCCGCATCGCGCAGGACCTGGGGCTGGAGCTGGCGGAGCTGGTGCCGCGCCTGTTTCAGCTGGATTCCAAAGCGCCTGCTGCTCTCGCTTCTGCTCCTCGCAGCCTGGGAGGCAGGGAGCGGCCAGATCCACTATTCGGTCCCCGAGGAGGCCAAACACGGCACCTTCGTGGGCCGCATCGCGCAGGACCTGGGGCTGGAGCTGGCGGAGCTGGTGCCGCGCCGGTTCCGGGTGGCGTCCAAAGGCCGCGCGGACCTTCTGGAGGTAAATCTGCAGAATGGCGTTTTGTTTGTGAATTCTCGGATCGACCGGGAGGAGCTGTGCGGGCGGAGCGCGGAGTGCAGCATCCACCTGGAGGTGATCGTGGACAGGCCGCTGCAGGTTTTCCATGTGGAGGTGGAAGTGAAGGACATTAACGACAACCCGCCTGCATTCCCCGCGACACAAAAGAGTCTGTTTATCGCGGAATCCAGGCCGCTTCACTCTCGGTTTCCACTAGAGGGCGCTTCCGATGCAGATAGCGGCGAGAACGCTCTGCTGACTTACAGACTGAGCCCCAATGAGTACTTCACTCTGGACGTGCCAACCAACCACGCGCAGGTAAAACCTCTTGGACTTGTGTTAGGGAAACCTTTGGACAGGGAAGAAACTCCGGAGCTGCATTTATTGCTCACGGCCACCGATGGAGGCAAGCCCGAGCTGACTGGCACTGTCGAGGTACTCGTCACAGTGCTGGACGCCAATGACAATGCCCCAGTTTTTGACAGAACACTCTATACGGTGAAGTTACCAGAAAATGTCTCTATTGGAACGCTGGTGATTAACCCCAATGCCTCCGATTTAGACGAAGGCTTGAATGGGGATATTATTTACTCATTCTCTAGTGATGTTTCTCCAGAAATAAAATCCAAGTTCCACATTGACGCTGTAAGTGGGGAAATTACGGTGATAGGACTTATTGATTTCGAAGAAAGGAAAGCTCACAAAATTCTAGTAGAGGCTATCGACAAAGGCTTTCCACCACTGGCTGGTCATTGTACAGTTCTTGTGGAAGTTGTGGACGCTAATGACAATGCTCCACAACTAACTGTTAAAACGCTCTGGCTCCCCGTAAAAGAGGACGCACAGCAGGGGACAGCTATTGCTCTGATCAGCGTGACTGACCTAGATGCAGGTGCAAATGGACACGTCACCTGTTCCCTGACACCTTCTGTCCCCTTTAAGCTGGTTTCCACCTTCAAGAACTACTATTCGTTGGTGTTGGACAGCGCCCTGGACCGCGAGAGTGTGTCTGCCTATGAGGTGGTGGTGACAGCGCGGGACGGGGGCTCGCCTTCGCTGTGGACCACGGCCAGCGTGTCCGT